TGTGTGTGTGTGATAAAAAGGTCAAGAAATTTCCTACATGCTTGCGATAAGAGTATTAGCCTCATGTGTTCTCACGGCACAGTGACCTACAAGCACTCAGCTAACACGCCCGGTTGTGTTACATGTGTGTGTCAGGCGCGTCGAACAGGCAGAGCCGAAGGAAAAGGGAAACGGCCACGCGCGGGGTTCGTTACAGACATAAAATTGGAACGCCGTCATGCGCCGTAAATCCTTACAAAAAACACATTACAAACTAATTAAATTGAATGTAATCCAATCGTTGTAACTTGAAGCCGTAGTTTGGTGCAGGATGCTATGAAATGAACTTACATCTGTATGCGTGTGTGTGTGTGTGCGTGTGTGGTTATTTCTTCATATTTCGGCCAGAGGTTCACTCACGTGTGCACGCCATCGAGCGTGGATCGCTGTCGGCTCGGTAAAAGCCTTTCTCGCAAATGCACTCCGTGGCTTTCTCCTGCGGGGACGAGCTGTGAGGAGGACATTTGTTGCAGTAGGCGTCAGTGGCCGAGGCCTTGTAGGTCCCGAGTCTGCACGCTGGGGTCGAGGAGAAAGACACCGACACAAAGTTAATGGAAGAGTCAAGGTAGCCGCTTAAATGTCCAGATGATGTTCATTTAAGATCAATCACAAAGACAAAGAAACGCTGCTTTAAATGTGAAAAGTGGTGGTTCCTATTTGGAGTTGATTGATGACTAAAATATGATTAATTACAAAAAATACCCATTACCTATACATAACAATCAATGAGAGGCATCGGAACTCGCCGAGTTCACAAGACCGTACGCTGCATCCTTGACATTGAGAAATGACTTCAAACCACAAGCCAAACCAAAATGGCTGCCAACAACAACACCGATTTACCGGAGGTATTTAATGTTTATTATTGTGGTTGTAATCGGTTGTTGTGATTTTGCTGTTGTGTATTTTTCATTTTGTAATTTGCTGTGTTATACTTTCATTATTACGAAGTTCTGCTGTGTATCGTGTCGTACCTGCGCTATCTCCTTTCCATGTGGCTAGCTAACGCTACCGCAATACTGAAACAGGGCCGTATTGAGCAGCTGCGTCTGTATTGAACACATTTTTTTGGTCAGTGACTTGATGTTAATTAGTCAACTGATTCAGACATCCTGTTTATGCACAACCAAGAATTTAGAAAAATGTATTCTACATGTAAAATAAGAAACACATGAGCTAATACCAATATAGCATCTGCGACACACATTTTTTTTGGTGTGTAGCTGACTTCAAAGGGTTCCTGAAATAACAAAACACATTTGAGTAGCATCCATTTATACTTTGCCGTATCAAGCAACGTGTTGCGTTATTGGAGCGCTGAAAAAGCCAGTTCCTCACAGCATATCAGTTTGTTTTGAATGGTTCATTTTTTATGAATCGTAAATACATGAATGACTCACCATCAAAATACTAAATGATCTCAAGTAATTAAATACTCTGATATTATCTTTTAATGTCGGTCCAGTATCATTTAATACATATTTTAATCACTACAATCATTATTTTCTCTCTCTTATTTGGCTGCGAGAACCCACTTTAATGACCAATTCAGATGACTCTATTATTTAGTCCTTGAAACGCACTGAAAGAAGAGCCAAAGGCTTCACAAAAAAAAAAAGTGACCAAGGGTAAAAAAAAAAAAAAAAAAAAAAAAAAGCAGAGTTGTGGTGCGGCAAAGGCACTCGAGAAACCGATGGCTCATCCGATGTTTCGTGCAGCACCCATGGCAACGGACACGAAAACAAGAGTCTGATTTAATGCATGGTGGCATTCGGTCTTTCGACGTGAAATCTTTTTGCATCAGGCGGCAAGACCGCGGGGGTTGTGCTGTATAAAACACAGCCAGGCAGCATCACAACTGTCACTACGCTTAGATAAGCGCTGGCTCTTCAGGCTACCGGGGGAGGCACAAATACAAAGCTACAAATCCTCTGGCGGTAACATAACATGACTGTGGCTTGGCTCTGGATGCTTCGTCGTCATTTTGGGGCGGGGCATCCTGGAATAACGTTGTGCCCTTTGGATTCAAGGCAGTGGAATAGACAATGCTCTTTGGTCATACAAATCGTTAGTCTTGACACAGATCTGATTGGATCTGCAGATATTTTGCATTTGATGCATTTTTCACATTTAATTGTTACTATGTATTGCTAATGCCTTTAAATGGGCCGGTCCCACTTCCCCTTAAATAGTCGGGGTTGATATTGCTTGAGATGGGTCCATTTTTTGATCGGATTGCTCATCGGTGATCACGTTTTTTTTTTTTCACTCGCTGATCAATGATCGGCTTCAAAATCCTGATCGTGTAAAGCCTTCAATACATTTCTAGGACTAGTATTCAGATCCTTAACCAGCCCCCCGGATTCCGTGTGATGAAAATGAGGGTGTCACACAACCCGCGAGTGTGCTTATGCATATTTGTCTGCAGGATAACCGATGCGATGGAATCCACCCGGCGCTGATTGTACGTCGATGTGCCTGACACGTGTGTTAAGTGTGCTGCTAATGTGTGTGCGTGTGCGTGCGCGCGTGCGTGCGTAAGTGCGTTTGTGTGCCTGCTGATTGCTTGTGCCACCGGTGAAGGTCACGGATTTAATCATGGTACAATCCACGCATCCCGGGAAAGCTGTAAATTATCACACGAATGCACGTCCACACACACATACCCACACACACACACACACACATACATAAGCTCGACATATACGCGACTCAAAAAGACGTTTATGAAGTCTATGGAAAATGTAAAAAGTTCACCCTACCATATCATATCAGAAATTAGGACATTTAAGGAGAAGGATTCACTGGTGATTTCCTGATCTCAAACAATTTGTTGAAACAAAAGTTAACAAGAGTGGTGGGTACACCACAACAAAACATTTCGACATCTCAATAACTCATCATGTGCCCTTGAGCATCTCTAAGCCCTTCAAAGGCTTAGAGAAGCTCACATTAAGTTGACCTGTAAAGGTTTGAATGCATTTTAGGCTCGTCTTGAAATTTCACCAGGAAGCCAAATATCCCTCACTTTTTTTGTAAGTAGTCTATATGCAAGGCGGTAGTCGTTAACCTGCAGAGAAAGAGAGAGACGGAAATGTGGCCTAAAAGCGGTGTGATTTCTCAAAAGTGGAGCTTAAGCTCTTCTACCTGGATGCTGCGCTCGCTCGTGAACAGAAAGTATTTTTAGGCAAAACATTCATCATATTGGGAGCAAGGTCCACCAGCGCAATCCCCCAAAGACCTGCGGGGACGCTGGAACGGGAGACGTGCTGCCGCTTAAAAAAAAAAAAAAGAAATAAAATAATAGGGAAAACAAAAATAAAGGCGAAGTCAGTGGAGGGAAGGACGGGAAGTGCGTCTTCTCAAAGGGAGGACTTTGTGGCCTCTTTCCTCCTTGCCGTCATGTTCCAAGAGAATGGGTAGCCGTGTGCTATCCCGTGTGGATTCCTTTGGCTGAGCTCTAGAAGTAGGGTGGGCTAGCGACAATTCTCCAGGGGGGGTCTCATCCGGAGCGTCCTTGCTCTTGCCAAGCCTGGCATCCCAACACTGCCCGATCAAAGTCTGTGGAAAAACTTGGCGTCTTCGAGGAGCGCTTTGCCCTCCCAGTTTTTTTTTTTTTTTTTGCCTCGCCGCTGCTACTTTCTGTCTCTTCCACAGAGCCTCGTCTTTCTTTCCCTCGCATGGGATCCTCGCTCCCTGACGGGGGTTCCCTTCTGATTCATGTCAGATACGAAAAGACAAGACGCACAAAAACAACCTAGCGCGCAAAAGAGTCGCCCTCGAGACGAGAAGGTAAAGCGACGAAAATCATGTGAAGCGATGCTGTGGAGCGATGAGAATTCCAAATTTGCATTTGCAACAGGAGAACACAGATCAGAAGCAACATGAATGATAAGAGATGTGACACGCTCTAACGCAGGCCGTTTGAGGGCCCTGACTATGGAGAAATGCAGCGAGGCATGCTGGGAAAGTCCTTCTTCTTCTTGTCAATTTCGAATGCTGCTGACAAGAGTTGCACGATCGCTACCGACCGGGAAATGTTCAGCATTGACGCGCTGAAATATGAATGGAAGCCTAATGGAAAGCCATTTCATAAATTTTAACGAAATGAATCTTAGTTCATCCGTAGCCTGCCATAGCCTCCACGTTCAGTTTCATTCATTTGGGGATTCATAGAATTGGGATGATTTTTAGGAATCGCGATGAATTCTCAAACTTCGATGATTTCAATCGTATGACCGTATTTTCCACACTAAAAGGTGCACTGGATTATGAGGCGCACCTTCAATGAATGGCCTATTTTGTCATTTTTTTCGTACATTGGGCGCACCGCGTTATAAGATGCAATCTACAATGCATCCACTAGGTGGAGCTACGCTAGAGGAAACACCAACAGAACGATCAGATGTCAGTAAAACGTACTTAATAAAGCAGCGACACAGTTCACTTAACCAACAGCAAGTTATAACATTGACTCGTTCACGTTGAACTCTCTTGCCGCCGCTCTATTTCCGTGTTCAACTGCTTAATCCGATCGCCTTAAGTTTGAACTCTGCGTTGTCAGCATGTCTCTAGCAAGGAGCCATTTTAGGGTTGAAATGTTACCGTAACGATCATACACAAGGCGCATGGTATTTTAAGGCGCGCCGTAAGTTTTTAAGAAAATGGAAGGCTTTTAGGTGCGCCTTTTAGTGTGGAAAAACCGGTAAAAACAAGAACAGGTAGCTAGTAACTGTAAGAGAATACATTTCCAACTAGCCCTCCTAAATTTGTGCATCTCTTACATCAGTGGTTCCCAACCAGTGTGTCGTGAGAGCTCAAATGGTGTGCCGCGGTGCACAACCGAGAGTGACGGAAAGACCAAATAAATGATTTTCTATTAGATGGCAAAAAAAGTATGAAATTGACATATATATCCTCGATGGGTGACAATTTTGTTTGGTGGTGTGCCATGCGATTTTTTTTTTTTTAATGCTATTAAAAAAAGTGCCTTGGCTCAATAAAGTTTGGGAATTGCCGTCTTATATTACGTAGCCTATTTCTATGCCGTTGACACTTCCAATGCCATCCTGCCTGCACGCTCGCCAAGTGACGTCAGATCATTTCTGACTCTCCCAAATGTCGCTGCGGCTATCGTAATTGCTTCGCGGCTAATTAGGGCATCACCCATGTGACAAGCTCTTGTGCCAGTAAACACCCAACGATTTTCTTTTTTTGTGAGATCAGCGGCCGTGCGCGGATGCGGCGGCACGGTTGTGTTTCTTCGAACGACAAAAGATGGCCTCATATCCAGTGTCTGATTAAATATTTATCTGGTCACCAGAGAGACTCTCCGTATTTATGCCAATCGATAGCTTTTAGATATGATGTAGCAGAGCTACTCAGGACACACACGCTCTGATTGAGGAGTGGGGGGACAGCCCGGCTGTCTCCACTGGACCCGCACGACTCTGTGAGCAGTTTGAAAAAAAGAAAAATTATTTTGTCATTTTCTCCAGAGCTCTCCCAACATATTA